TATAGTTGTATCGGTGTCTGACATTCATTTTTCTGATCGGTCTTGCAGTTTCGTTATGTTAAACCTTAAATCGCGGAGAGTCGATTGCGGAAATTTTTTTTTCCCTGGACAAAAAGTTAAAAAGTGAAATCCTTCAATTGGAAACGAATGAAATAAATTCGCCGAAACTGTGATCACGTAGCTCGATTTGAAACGAGGAGATTTTGCCGCATAGAAATCGCAACAAAGCAAATAGTGCAAAGATTTACTGAAAATTTACGCGATCGACTTTCCGCTGAATTTGTTTCTACTTTTATGTGGAATTTCAATGTGGAAATAATAAATCGGGGGATAGCACACATTGTAATGTGTTTCTCTCTCGCTTATCGGCATTTCAAAGAGGCTCTCTCGCATGCCGCGACCGAAAAGTTAATGTGCAGTATAAAGATGCGATATGAAAACGCGCAGGTGTGACGATATTTCGCGGGATTCACGCGTTGGATGGCGACAAGCCGAACACGCCGAACAGCGACGTCTATTATGCCATCGTGAAGGGGAACGAGCAAGGGAAATTTTCCCTAGAATCCGGACACAGAACCGCCTTAATACTTCGCAAGCAGATCGACTACGACAGCGGAGATCGCGAGTTCACGTTGATTATTACCGCGACCGTGAGTACACGAATATAGCTCTATAATCTGTTCTACCGCAGAATGTTGATAAATAGTTAATTTATGATAATTAATATATTGCTAGAAATTGCTCAATAGCGACTTAGCAATGAATGACAAACCAGATTGGTTCGCGATAGTAATTCCTGCGTCTTATGACGTAATATAACGCAATGCTTTAGGATCGAGGCGTTCCCGCCAGAAGCACAAACAGCACCGTGAAAATAACCGTAGTGGACAACGATGATCTTGATCCGAAGTTCACGCAGGACATTTACAAGGCGAAAATCTACGAGTTCTATCCTATTCCGGTACGATTGAAAAATTAATTCAGTATATAGAATATTCAGAAAGAAATTACTCTTGTTCTGAATGAAAGATAATTCGGAAGGCGAACAAAAATTAATGGCAGAAATTAATAAAGTTTTTCAGATCAATCTCGTTCAATAATTTTTTCAACGCGATGTTATTGCATTCTGAAGCGCGGTGTATTCTTCATTTCGCAGAAGCATCCAATCTTCACGGAGATCAATTTCACCAATCCGATTCACGCGGCCGACCGCGATCGCGACATAAACGTGCCGGTGCGATACGATATCATATCCGGCAACGAGCGGGGCTTCTTCCATCTCGATCCGAAGAATGGCTCGCTGTTCCTGAAACGCGCGATCGACCTCGACGCCGAGCGGAGTCTGCCGAGCAATACGTTCAACCTACAGATACACGCGTCGCAGGTGGACAACCCGTTGAAGATGACGGTCGCGCGGGTCGAAGTAGAGGTGCTGGATTTGAATGATAATCTACCGCAGTTCGAGGTCGATCTATACAACATCAGCATCGTGGAGAATCTGCCGAACGGCTTCAGCGTACTGCAGGTAATCGCGCGCGATAAAGATCAGGGCGAGAACGGCCGGTTCGATTATCAGCTGGAGGATTCGCACAGTGCGTTTTCCGTGGATTCACGATCCGGCTGGCTCACCGTCAGAGATCAGACGGTCCTGGATCGCGAGAGGCGCGATCATCTGAAGATGAAGGTCTACGCCGTGGAGCATAGACCGAGCGTCGTCGGTTCAAAGCCATCCTCCGTGGATGTCGAGGTCAGTCTGCTCGACGCCAACGACAACAATCCCATTTTCGTGCCTGGAAATCTTTACGAGCTGGTAGCGCGGAGCGATGTCAAAGTTGGCACTGTTCTGGGCCAGGTGCACGCGGTGGATGACGATCAGGGCCCCAACGGGCTGGTGCGCTACCGTTTGCAGAAGCCCGGTAACTCCACGCTGCGCAAACCCCCGTTCGCGGTCGACGAGAGCACGGGCGTGATCACGGCGTCGGAGAGCCCGATACTCGAAGGTAGACACGCGATCTTTGTGGAAGCGGCCGATCAACCGGCGAATCCTAGCGAGAGAAGATTTTCTCTGGCGGTTGTAACGGTGGACGTCTTCCGAGCGGACGGTGAGTATGCAAATTAATCGGCGGATTTACTGAAATTCGAAAAGCTTCGGGTAAAATAAAAAATATTTCGAAATTCCGTGTAATTGAAGAATATTATAATTAATTAAGAGAGATTTCTCGGACTGTTATTAAAAGCCAACGTTAATTCAGAAATAATAATTCAGAAAAAAGGAAAATTTTTACAATTTTAGCGATTTTAATATAATTATAGTTTCTTACTGCACGTGTTTGTACTGTAATAAAGGAAAATTGAGAATTAGAAATTCGCAAAGCTAGATAATTACTTAGGATCCTTTTATCGTTAAATCCGCCGCTCGACCGAGAAACGCTTTCGCTTGATAGCTCTCATAGGCTTTCGCTAATAAGATGTTAGCCGATGCGTTTGTGCGCACTTCAGGTCCAGATTCATGGGAACCAGATTTCATCGGCGCGCCCTACGAGTTCTGGGTCGGCGCAGACGTGCCTGTGGGTACCAGCGTCGGGCAGATTCGTCTGAACGACGCCGTGAAAACCAACGACCTCATCTACGATCTGCTGCACGGTTACGAGGAGGGAGGTGGGTACATGCGACACAGCGCTCGTCGCGTTAATTAATCCACGCTGCCCGCGGGAATTAAAAGCCGCGCGCGCACGTTCGCGACTTCTTAACGGTCTAATAAACCCGTTTCCCACGCATCCCCCCAGGTGCGCCCTAATTTCAATATATGCCGTGCGGCGCGCGGCCGGAAGCGGCACAAAATGCCTGTATTATTCATGCAAATACGGTAACACATGCTGCATACATACGCAATGGGATTTCAGTTCCATTTGCCGTGGAGGAGCGCTCAGGCACGATCACGGTCGTGGAGGAGATCGGGCGCTTCGACCAATCTGCATACGACTTCGAGGCGGTCGTCACCGACGAGAGGGACCTCACGCTCATCACGAACGTTTCGATCCACGTGGTGGATCCGAGCGACGAGCGGGGCGTCTTGACGAAGTGAGCGAAACATCGTTAACGCACCGGTCGCTTTCAACGACACCTTTATGACACTTTCGAACGCGAGGCGGCGAACGGGAACCGAGTGAAAACGCGCGGGACACGCGTCAAATTCCCTTCCGCGTTTTCTCTAATTGCCGGTTGTGCTTTAGGAAGCTTCGCTAATTAACGTCAGATTGATTTACGAATTGTTAAACACCTGCCGAATAAATCACACCGCCAGTCAGCGCGCTTTCGTTGCGAAATTATATTATCTTCGTGAATCTCTTCTTCACGCGTGTCGCCATTTAAGCAACGTCTTTCGCGAGAGCTCGTGGTCTCGCAACACTCCATATCGCTCCGTCGCGAGATCGATACGGCAGATTTGCCCGACTGTCCTAGCCGTCGAAGACGCGTCGAAAGGTCAAGGGTCTCGCGCCACTTCGGAGGATACCATTTGCTTATTCAAAAGTCGACGACCGTTGATTGCAGGGGAATGACCACCGCTCCGCTGATCTTCCATGTAAAGGAGAACGTGCCCGGCGCGTTGATCGGCCAAGTGCTACCGCACAACGGCACGGCGTCGACTGTGTCTGGCACTGAATTTCTTATCGTCAATCAGCAGGATGTGCCCGATGTCGCCATCATGAGCGACGGCACTCTTTACGCTCCTCAGGGTTTGGACCGCGAGACGAGGCAGAACTACAGCATCACCGTGATTGCCGAGAGTTCGCGCGGCGTGGGCGTGTTTCAGGTAAACTTTCCGCGGCGCATTTCCGCAATCCCGCAATACCTTGGCTTTATCCGTCGCTTTAATCATCATTGTTTTGGCAACTCGCACGTTCAGGTGCGACTTATCGTCGACGACGAAAATGATCACGCACCGGAATTCACGTCGTCTATTTACGAAGCCCGGATTTTGGAAAACAGTCCTGCGGGCACGGAAGTCACCCTCACGAATCCGATTGCGGCGAACGACAGAGACGAGGGGCAAAATCAGGACTTTGAGTTCGCTCTGCGGGGCGAGGGTAGCAGCCTGTTTAAAATCGATCCGACAACGGGCCAAGTGTATTTCGCGGGCACCGACAATAGGATTCTGGATCGCGAGACAAGGGCGAATTATGAATTTCAAATAATCGCCATTGACAGCGGTAGGTTCATTCACAAACTCTCTGTTAAAAAATAATTTTGCTTAATATTTAAATGCTGCAATGAGATGAAATTTAATGCAAATATTTCTTTACAATTTCATGTAAAACTTGTGAAAAGTTTTTAATTTTTGGATGCATAAGGGAAATTTTTTTTTAAGTTAAACGGAAGACTATTAAGAGCAGTTATCTGTGTGCAGCGTAAAATATATTTCATTCAAACATCAATTTTCGACCACATGAGAATTGGTTCACATGAAAATTTTGGTTGGAAATTGATGTTGGAGTGAAACACATTTACGCTGCGCACAGATAATCGCGCTCGCGGCTCTTAATAGCTTTCCGTTTGACTTATTGATTTTACATTAAAGAACCTATTTTATTATTATTATTTAAATCATTTTATTATATTCTCTTGATTTATATTATAATTCTCGATAAAGTTCTTTTTCCTTTTCAAATAAAAAAAGTAATATTTTGAAACATTTGATCCTTTGACAAGCTGTGCAATTTAAAATTTATCAAAATCAATTTTCCATCTTTTGACTTTTCGTAAACTTTCATTAATAATTTATGGAAAAATTAAAAATAGAGATGCACGATAAAAAATATGGTATCAAAAATTGTAAAAAAATATGGATTTACGACGGTTTGGAAATAAATTCTTGCATCACAGGCGGTCTGAAGTCGGAGAGCACTTTGAGAATAACGGTGCTCGACGCGAACGACAACGCTCCGAAGTTTATACGGATGGTGGTCCTGCCGGATCAGGGAGTGCACGTATCGCAGAATCCGGATGTCGATACATCCACCGAAAAGGACGAGACGAAGGACGGAGGAGCGCAAGCCGATAATTCGGCGGACGGCAGCAGGCGACGCTCGCCGTTGCTGCTGGTGCCGGAGAACACGACGATCGGCGTGCCAATAATCCGCCTGTTGGCGGACGATAAGGACGAGGGCGCGAACGCGGCGATAACGTATAGTCTGAGCAACGAGACGATTTCCGGTCGAGCCTTGCCACGTCGATACGACGTCACCGCTCGGCGATACTTCCATCTCGATCCACACACGGCCGAGATATCCGTCGTTCGGAGCCTGCTGCCGGAAAAGGACATCCGGCTGTTCGTCCTGGCGCGAGACGCTGGCGGTCTCACGGACAACATCACCGTCCGGATCCGTATAACCGATGTGAACGATCACGCGCCCGTCTTCGATAAATCTTGGTACACGTTCGACGTGGCTGAGGGCGCGTACGTCAATCGCGCGGTCGGCACGGTGCGAGCGATCGACGTCGATTTCGGCGCGAACGGCGATCTAAGCTACGAATTGATCACCAGTCACGAAGACTCGGGGCTGGCCAAAAACGCGTCGCGATCGTTCGATGTGGATTCGCGCGAGGGTACGATACGCGTGAGCGGGATTCTCGATCGGGAGCGAGTCACGACTCATCGTCTTCTCGTGGTCGCTCGCGATCGCGGCTCGCCGAGTCTGAGCTCCTCCGTCGAGGTGGAGATCAACGTGCTGGATGTGAACGACAACGCGCCGACGTTCCACGGCTACGACGAGCTGGAGCAAGTGACTCAATTCCCAGTCTATCGGGTGTCCGTTTTGGAGAACGGTCCGATTGGCACACAAGTGACCAAGGTGTACGCGAACGACAGCGACTTTGCCGGCAATGGAAACGGATTGATTCTGTTCGATTTGAACCATCAAGATCGTGGGATGGAGAAGCAGTACTTCGCAATGGACAGTAAAGAAGGCGTCGTCACGACTATCGCCAGACTCGATTACGAAACCAAGAGCGATTATCGTCTAATCGTGACAGCGAGCGATCTCGGCTCACCGATTAGCCTCACTTCCACTGCCGTGGTGCGCGTTACTGTACTGAATGTCGACGATGAGGAAGACAACGAGGTGCGCAAGATACCGACCTTCCAGCATCGATACTACGAGGTGGAGGTTGACGAAAATGCCTCGGTGCCGTTGCTGATCGCGCAGCTCGACCTCGCCGACAATTATCACGACGAGCATATAAGATACAGCGTCGTGGCCGACGGTTCCGACGGAAGAGATCACTTCTCGATCGATCCTAAAAACGGTTCGCTGTATCTGATGACGGAGGTCGACCGTGAAGCGCGAGATCGATACGAAACGAAGGTGCGAGTCGATCGACTGAAGATCGGCCGCGGCATGCCGGTGATGATCTACCCGATCGTGGGCGAGAGACTCAACGGATTGGCGCCCAACGAAGCCAGAGTAATCGTCAGGGTGAAAGATGTGAATGACAACGCGCCCAGATTCAAGTCCAAAGACAGACCCATCCTCGCCGCTATACCCGTCACTGCCCACTACGGCTACGAGGTCGTCAAAGTAGAGGTAGGTGCAGCAGCGACGACTCAAAGTGAACCGAGCTCTTTAATCCATTTTGGTTTTAGGCGGCTTTTGTCCGCTCTTTTCCTCCTCGCAAACATCTCTGACAAGTCCCTTCGGGCTTGATTTAATTTTCTGTAATAGCTTTTCACGGCGCCCTTCACCGTAGCTTATATATATATATATATATA